TCATCGAACCTGCAGTGCAAACCAAGCGATTCAAATATTTCGCATTGCAAATTAACAAATTCATCCAGAATACCATCACTCTGCTTATCGTCACAAACCGCATACATTTCAATCTTAATTAAACCGTACTTATTGTTAGAGCACACAATCAGTTCAGATTACGGCAGATCCGTCAGAGATATGATTCTTTCAATCACACACAAATGGCGAATGCGCCATGTCTATATGTCAATCTTATAGCAGCATAATTCGTTGTAACCTTTGTGAACTCATGAACTCGATAGAGTCGTGCTTCCCAAGCATTTTTTGAAACCTCCGGTCGATAGCATCGACTCATTGCTGTGAATCGTAGAGGCAAATCGCTCTTGCGAAAAACTCGTCCTCTTATCAGGTCACTTATCCCCATTTCTGGAATATGATTCTAGAAGAAATGATCAACTCGCATATGCTATGACAACCACAATGGTGTGCTTTTTCGAATACTTTGAAACAAAACATTATTGTTGAATCGCTCGCACTGTCATTTCGTCAACAAACTTTAGTCTATCGCAAACTCCAGTACAAATCATTGGAAACGAGAAATATTGTCTGAGCATCAATTCATAAGAATATGAATTTGTTTCCATTTCGTAGCTGTTATCAAAGACTTTCATTCTAACCGGATGTTCCTGAAAGGCAAAGATTTGGACGATCCACTAAATGGTACTGAATGCCTTGAGAGGATCGCTGCTGCAGGCCACATGCTTCTGTTACGGAACGTTCCACTATGTCTGGTACATAAACCGGACGAAAATTGGCCTTTTCCAGTAATTCACTCACATATGACAATAAGGCTTGCTCGAGATTCGCCAATGCTCCTACAATCACGATTAGGTGCGTATTTTGCGACGAACAATCACCGAGTATGTGCTTGTTTTATACAAGTGATCAAATAATACTTGAATCCATTTGGAAGAAAACAATTGCAATGGTTGCGTACTTGACGATTGCTCTTAAAAGAAAAATGATGCGTCAAAACAGTGGATGAATTCAGCCAGCATGCGCCTAGTACAAGGTGCAATTGGAGCATTGATTAAGGCTCACCAACAAACGCATAACTTCTACTTCCACACGCCTCTCTCGGGTAGATCACGGATCTCCACGATTGTGCCAGTTGTTCAGCAGTTAAAAATCGTTGCAAATCGCTATCGCGTTTCTTCGATCCGAATGTTCGAACCACTCTCGCACAAGATTCGTCACCGCGAGGTGCATTCGGATGGCTCGTGTTCGGTATCAATAGTGATTCTTTATAAAGCTGAATAATTAGTGCATTCCTGAGAGTGT